TCTGTTTGGTGTTTCAGCCAATCAGAGACAGGCTCTGGATATATCTGAGACCTGTGATATATTGATGAAAAACAGTATAATAGGGGACCTTTAAAGCAAAACCACTTCTGCTGCATAAACCCTGAAGGAGATGAAAACAAAAGCACATGAGGTCCTTATCTGGCCCCACACTCACATATGTCCCCTCCCCAACTACAAAAAGAAGTTCCCTCTGTGTTTTGACTGCAGCGCGCCGCTATCTGAAGTATATCCGGTACAACAATACCCCATTGTTTGCTGACAGGATGAACTCAGAGATTCTTTAGAGAGAAGCCACGAGAGAAACTCCCAGAGACTGAGGAGCAGCGTCTTGTGACAGTTTGACTGTAGGTTTAATGATTTTCCTTTGGGGTGCCAGTCAGGTCTCTCTCCTGACATTTAAGATTTGTATAGTCACAGTTGAGTAAGTCGGTACTGCACAAAGGTGAATACAACTCACTGCAAACACCCAACATTGAATGACATTAGAAAATCTCAAAATGATTCTGTATCACGAATAGCAAGTATATTTCAAATATCCCACAAAACAATCCCTCAGTTCAAAATTAAATCAGCAGCAGAAAACCTCCAGAGCTGCGTCTGAGTCCAACAATCTCCACAAGATCTCAGAGGCTTATCTGCTAACCGCCGGCTCAGATCAAAACTGAACGTACTGTCTGCAGGAGTCAGTGAATGCACCACTAACAGACTGATGCTTTCAACAAGTCACACGTTGTAAAGGATGGAAAATCAACCTTTTGTTGGTTTGATTAAGCAGAGGCTGACCTGGTGCTGCTGTGTGGACGTTACATTTTTTAAATGACACTTACTCCGTGAATGATGTTATTTAGTGACTCCTGACACAGTTCATGAAACGTGCAACTATTTGTTAACTGTATCTATTTCAACCTGATTTATCTTTGCGTTGAGTCGGTGCGATTTTTAAATTGTATTTCATTTTGTAGAAACGAATAAATCAGTTTGCAGAAATATCAGGCAGAGAGGTCCAATGATTAAACACCAGTTCTTATTCATTATTTATTTAACCAAAAGGTCTGTTACGATGGAAACAAACATAAGTCTATTATTATTCCTTACTGCTTATGTCGTAGAAAACAAAGCATCCATTTAAAGGTCACCTATCATGCTATTTTTAGGCAATAGCATAGGTCTCAGATATATACAAATATATAAAAAACATGTCTATGAAGTGTTTTGCTCAAAATACCAAACAGATCACCCATTCTAGCCATGCCTCATATCCCTCTATTTCACTTCCTGTTTCAAAAATCCTGCTGATTTGGGGTATAAAGCTTTAAAAAAATAAAAAAGGAGGGGGCTGAGCTCATGCGGGACCCGGCAGCTACTGTCTAAACTAAATACTACCGTGATGAAACGCCATATCATGGATTATCAAGGACTATCTCTGAAACAGTATGGAGCTCAAAGGCTTTCTCTCTTGCCGGTTATACCACAAGGTGAGTTCCTTTTTATTTCCTGCTTCTTCACACACATGCTCTCCAGTACAGGTTAGCTCTGAGTGTTAGCGATGCTAATGTAAACACCGACCATATTACGTCCAAAACAGTCGGGCATTGTTTCTGATAGCAACGTTTCTGATAGGGCCGTGGGTGTAAAGCCAGCCTACATTTCCGATATTACGTCATATCGGACGCAAATCTGGATCAGCTCCGTTGTAGCCCCGTTTTTAGAGATTTGGGTACGGAGGAAAAGAGAGAGGGTTTTATTTTCTGAAGCTGCGTGAGTTCCCTGACACACCGGGGACACATATTCATGTATAAAAGACATCAAAAAGTGCATTTTGCATGATAGGAGAGCTTTAAGACTAAGGATTTTTACTGAGAAGATGTACCATGAGTAAACACCACAGCCATGGGTAGGAATGTTTCTATAGAAGCTTTTGCATCCATCATTGCCATTGATTCTACAGAGAATAATATAAAATGATAATGATAATAAAGAGAGCCTTATGTAGAAAACCTGCAACAGGATCAAGAGATCATTGTAGCAATATAAATGATACTTTTTTGAATAACGATCCAACTTAAGACCAAACTTAAAGTGGACCTATCATGCTATATTTGAATAATATAGTGTAGGACCATACCTATATAAGGCATATTTATACTTTTTTTTTTTCAAAATACCAAACAGATCATGCATTTTAGCCATGCCTCATTTTGCTCAATTTGACATTTTTTAGCTCTGTTTTTGCAAGGGCTGATTCTGTGAGAAACAGCACCATCTACAGGCCTGGCATATGTACTACATCGTCTCCAGCGCTTTAGAACGGCAATGGCCGTGGCTGTCTCCTCCTGATTGGTGGAGTTGGCCCAATAGCCGTAGCGCCACTGTCCTGACGTCAGGACAGTGTTCAAATCTGGATCAGTTTTCATCAGATCCGTTGCAGCCCCTTTTTTAGAGATTTGGGTATGGAGGAAAATAGAGAGGGTTGTGTTTTCTGACACTTGGTGAGTTCCCTGGAACACCGGGGACACATATTCATGTATAAAAGACGTACAAAAGTGTATTTTGCATGATAGGTCCCCTTTAACTTTTGTTTTAACCATACAGCTGTGCACAAGAACAGGCATCACGTCAGCAAAAGGTCTCGATAACTGAACCTGCATTTATAGATAGGATTGTATTGTGTAGTATATTTTAACGCTTTAAAAGACCAACATACTGCTGTCTGATCATAAACCTGGGAATATTTCCAACCTTCCCCATTATGTGAAGCCTTTAAAATCACAAGAAAAACCCCAAAAAGATTAGATTAAAAGTACATTATGGGGTTTCTCCTGGTCTCTTTGTGGCTTCATTACTACAGGAACGGTTGCAGAGTTAAACGTCTGAGGTAAAGTGTGGAGCCAGATGAGGGAAACTGTGACTTCATGAATATATCAAAGGAGGTCTGTAGTGAGAGGGAAAGTTGGACAGAGCTGAGTCTGAGGTGGATAAATGGGGAGGGGGTGTGTGAAGGGCTGGACCAGTCACAGCTGGAGGTTAAATATATCCTCCAGAAACAGCACCCACTTGTTGTTTGTCGGGAGAAACAAGAAATAAAGAGAGCTGGTTCAACGTGTTGCTGTTTGAAAAGCAACGCACACTTCTGAGCTTTAGTTGTTGTATAAAAGTGGGACAAACATCTGGCATCACAAGGCACAGTTAAGATGTGCAAAACATGAGAAATATGTAAAACAGATCTGCTTTGAAATGACTTTTTCCAACGCCCTTTTCCAGCTGGATCTGATCATTTTGCACGCGTAGTTTAAACCGTGCCCCGTTTTCTTGTTTTGCAAAACTGAGAGCGTTTTCTCCTTCTGTTTCGCTGGCACTGAGAGAAATATTTGAGGTCCAGGGGGTGAGTTTTTCCATGAGAACGGCAGTGTGGTAGCCAGATCTGTTTGTGTGTTCACAGCCGATTAGCGGCTCACTATTTCACGGCTCCTTAAAGCGGCTCGACTTAGTGAAAGAAAACAAACTTAATGGTCACACAGGGGTCTCTGCAGGTCTGTGAAGTCTGAAAACTGCTGGGGGTTTATCATTTCCTGCTGTTTAGAGAGACTAAACAAGTGTGGAAAAGCATGGGAAAGATTGTGTATTAATTAACCGTGTACAGTGTTTATCATACTTTACAGTCTCATGGGGATAACTGAAGCTGAAGATAGGTTTACGGCTGCCTTTAAAGAACAAAACATCGGAGGAAAATCCAAAACTTGTCGGCATGAAAACAGTGAGCATTATTTAAGAATATCTATTAGGGATGCCAGAAACTGACCATGATCAAAATCGAATATCGGACAGCCCTGGCGAATATTAATCGATTGTTAGGTTTCATCTTAAGGTTTGTATTCCTTAATTGGTCTAACATGTAACTAGAGAAGAGTTGGAGAGTCTGATTTTGGATTATGAACTGTTTATTCATTATGTATTAAGTTGTAAAACACTGGAAACCTTTAACTGGTGAAAAACAGATGAAAATGTATAAAATAAAACTGTTTCTAGCTGCAGAAGATTTGAGAGAAATCCAATCTTTACTACTTAAAGACACAAGTATCTCCCAACGTCTCAAACCCAAACAAAAATATAAACTGGATTAAAATATACATGCAGGAAATTGAGCTTCCCTTCGATTTTTAAGCTACTTATTGATTGTATAAAACAGCAGGAAATATTATAATTATGAGGTAATAATGTTTTTTCTAGTGTCTGCTCTACTCTTCCATATTATGCTGCAACCCTTAGATCCATAAGTGGGTCTTTTTTGACCCGGTGAGGTGGTTTTCTTGAAGTATCTTTGTAATTACATTTTTTTATCATTTCATATTCCAGCTATTCCTCAAAAAACATGTTTTGGATATCATGCCATTCACATTTTAAATTTACATTTTAAGAAATTGTAGTTTTTGTATTAACTACCCCAAGCTTCCATAAGTGGGTCCAAAATGACCCGCATGCATTTTCTATGGGATTTCGTTTTTTTTTCAAAATGTAAAAGAAATGTCTAAAATTATAAATTGTGAAAATTTAAATATAAAATATTTCTAGTGTGAACCAAAATATAATACTTAATATTAAACAAGTGATTTGTCTTAACCAAAATGACAAAAATGGCATAGAAACACATATTATTCTAATTATTCCACTTATGGAAGAGTGTAGGGTCCAGTCACTCGGGCATCCAAGGGTTAAATTGCGTGTGGCAGTCATGAGATAATTGGGGTGTAATGTGGAGCGAGTCACATGTGAAGTAAACATGTCGAAACATGAGAGCAATTAGTCCTGAAGTCACACGATGTCTGAGTATCGTGACACGACATCAACCGGTTTCTAACGTGAGTCATCAAAACTGTGGGAACACGGAGAGTCTAGAAGCCGTTTCCTAAACACATACTTGATTGAGTGAAAGCAGTTTTAATAAATCCTTGCTGGAGATTAAAACATAAAACAAGCAGAGGTCTGTTTTTGTTTTTTATTTAATAAGCTGGTTCATAAATTATCGCACATAAAAGACTCTTCGTCAATAGTTACAAAGTGGATAGCAACTTCATTAGCGCCTGGAAAAATGATAAAACAAATCAGGAGGAGTTTGTGGAGAGAGGGGGGGGGGGGGTTGATCTTGATAAATCATGAGTTCACACACAGTGGAGGAGGGGGGGGCCAACAGAGAGTAGGGGGGGGTTTCAACATCCAACCACTGTCGCTTCGTATTCCCGTTAAACTTCTTAACGCTCGGACTAGCAGCGAACAAAACGGTGGCATGCGTTTCGTCTTTCATGCCGGAAAAACCTTGTTTCTTTTCTCCAGTGTATTAAAAAAAAATAGGAGTGAAGAGGGGGAATAAATTATAAAATAATAACAACAAAGAAAGACAACACTAGCTACATGTGAGGTTCACGAAAAACAACTAAAGACAGAATGAAGCGGCGTCTTCTTGGCTCGGTTCCCCTTCTGTTCTCGAAGGGTTAGCGAGAGGCTAACGGGGGTTTCAATAACTCTTAATATGGAGTGGAATAAACCCCCGTTATTCTTTGATTTAATTTCTTTCCTACAACTATCTCCCTCCTCCCCCTCTGAGGGTCTAGATCTCGGTCTGAAATCGGTCCCGGATGTGTTTGATACGACGGATGTTTGGAGGATCGGGATGTAACCCGCCTCGCTAAAACTGGTCTGAATGAGCGATGGGTGTCCGCCATTTCTAACGCTAGTTTTCTCTCTACGACGCCCCTCAGATCCTCTCCACGTGAGGACTCGAGCGGTCAGAGCTTCTCTCGGTGTCACGGGAGCCTACTTGGACATTTGCTGCTGAATTTGCTCCAGGAATTGTGATAAAGATGAATCCGAGTCCGAGCTATCCTCCACCAGGTACTGGAAGAAGGTGGCTTTAGAGGAAGCTTCGTCCCTGCAGGAGGACACAGAAGAGGTGAAATGTATTATTATGGATTCTATGTAAGGCTGAGTATCGTTTGAATATGTTCTAAATACAAACATTTGGCCTGTTGTAATTTGTGGTGCCAAAAAAGAGGGTTATTCTTTCATGCATACATTTAGAAAATGGGATCTTAATACATCTTATGCCCCATGATACTGAATCAATAATACAATTGAAATACATTTTTTTTTAATTCCAGTTAGTCACAGTTACTTCTCATTTTTCCTACATATTTGAATGTCTTATGTAAAAAAAAAAACATGCATTAACCAGGCTCATGAGGAAGTTAATGAGTTCAATAGAGTGTATAAGACACACATACATGCGATGCAGTGGTTGAAGAATCTTAACACGAGTACAAATGTAAACAAACATGGTACTTAAACCCTCAATTACCAGTTTAAATTATTTGTAATGGTTCGTTTATTATTACTGAAACATTTATTTTAGGTATTATAAGTATAATATAATATCCGGCAGTGGCTCAGTCAGTAGGGGCTTGGACTGGGAGCTGTAGGGTCGCCGGTTCAAGTCCCCGACCAGACCTAAACTATGGAGTGTGGACTGCTACTTGGAGAGGTCCCAGTTCACCTCCTGCCCTGCCGTGGTGCCCTTGAGCAAGGCACCGGACACCCCCCTTCCCCCCTCACTCCCATTGCTCCCCGGGCAGTTAGGCAGTTAGGCAGTGGGCAACAATAGCTGCCCACTGCTCCTAGTACTAGACTCCTGGTACTAGGATGGGTTAAATGCAGAGAACACATTTCACTGTGTGCTCTGCATGTGAGACCATTACAGAGGGGTTCATCCCTCCTAATTCTTCTATAATTCTATTCTATGTATCACAGATTACTGTCGCACATTTTACGGTCATAATATAATTTAATCATAGAATATTGTATTATTGTGTTTTTGTGTAAGAATGTCGCAGCTTCGACAATGTTGAGCCAATTTAAGATACGTAAACATTCCGGACAGAAATGTTTTATCAGGACTGTTTCATGCGACCTAAAATTGAGTGGAATAAAATACAAACACAACAAAATATATACTTTATAATAGTAATATACAATATAAAAACTACACAAAAGGCAGCTAGCATGCAGTCACAAGGATTCGTCGAGGTGGTGAGCCTACGAGCCAATTAAAGCACAGTAAGGCGGGACTTGATATTATATTGGTGCAAATATAGCTGTGATTTTCAAATGAATATCACTGAAGGAGCAATCTCTTTCTCATCCAAAAAAATACCTGATAACCCACTTTTTAAATATTTGTTTTGGTACTTTATAATGTCCCAGCATATAAACACATAGATCAGTGGCGAGGTAAAAGGTACACACATCAAATCACCCAGACTATGATCGGGTTTATGGACTGTGTTTGTCGTATTTGTCGGACATTAAAATACAAAACTTGGGCTTCAGAAATGATAAAGGGCATCGGCAACGATTTCTGTCATCATTTCTATTGGTCAAACAATCAGTTGAGAAAATAATCAATAATCGAAAAAATACAAAAATTTATTTAATGACGTTGAGCTTCATAACACTGCAACCAAACACTTATCATGAAGTTTAAAATCACTTTTATATATAATACATATAATATTAGATTTCTAACAATTTTAATGTACCCTTTTTTTGGAGTCAACAATCTTTTTGTCATTATTGTGTGACTTTCCACTGTCTCAAAAATGTCAAAAATGTAACTCATGACAAGTATTTCTCATTTGTCAGAGGTATGACAACACCCCCAGTTATTTGCTCTGACATCAGCTGTTCTCCACAACAACAACAACAGTGTGGTGTAAACACATGTCGGAGCAACAATGCAGAGCCGCAGAGGAGGAGAACAACAACAATGAGCTGTCGATCAACGACCTCACTGTTTGTTTGTTTACACTGGAAATATTTCTCTGTCGCTCTCAGACCCAGATCTCTGCTGCGAGAAAGATTCCAGAGAGCGGTCACACCCGGTTTCTGAGTTTCAGTCAAGAGACGTCACACAAGATGGGTGTTGTTTAGATGTTGACAACAACAACAAACACTATGGTGCCGCCATATTTTTCTCTGAAACAGATAAACTAAGACAGGTGTTCCTAACCTTTGCCTTAAAATGGACCACTATTCTATTATTCATAAACTGACTGTGGGTGTTTCTCAATGTCGAGGACGCTTCCTTGGTAGGACATGTCCCTCCGAGTCAGGTCCTTCAGAAGCGAGGCAAGAATCCTTCCTAGCCTCGGAAAACGAAGAATTGTGGAACAGGCTAACAGGTGTGCGTCATATGCGAGGCCCGCCTTAAATGGAGCGCGATTTCCACCAAAGATTTTGGAAATTGGTCCGTGCGCAAAGCATTGTGGGGATTTTAAGACCGCGGAGGATACACATAGAAATTTCCCGCAACGAAGGACACCGGCCTCGGTAGAATTCCAAGCATCCTGGACATTGGAACAGTCCTTCGGCGGGACTCGATGACGTAGCATCCTTGAAATAGTGGCTCTGGAGCAGCCTTCCTCGACATTGAGAAACACCCTGATACTAGTACATACTTTATGGGTATTTAATATTATTTTCAATGCATAACAACAACAGTAAATAAATAAATGTATTTCTTTTAAGGAATTTTGAGCAGATTATTTCCAGTGAATATTGCATCAGAGATCATGTTTCCATTTGTTTAAACACTCTCTGTCTGTAGTGTGTTGTATTCAATAAAAGGTTTTGTAAAAGTGTGTGTCCAAATATTCTCTTTACCCTTATCCTGGGAGATTGATGTCGTAAAACATAATTCAAACTTTAAAAAGTAGTTTAATTTGTCTTTTTTAACAGTAATAAATTAAACCCTGAAAATAATAATAAGTTGTCGTACACCCCTTAAAATATACATCTTGTAATCAATAAGGCCTCAAGACCCCTGTGAAGTTTGTCACTGAACCTTAGGACACATTATCACGTCATATTAGAGACTAAACGTATTATTATTAGTTTTTATAAATATTTATGTTTGGGGGTTTCTTAGTGGTCTGATTGTTGGGACCAAGCCCCCAGGAAGTGCGCCGGACTCTGAGGAAAATATTTGTTGTGGCCAAACGGCGGTACTACACTTCCGTATCAGTCCGTGACGTCACTGGGCCCAGAAAGACTTTTCCCCATTGACTAAGAGTGGTCTGTAAATCGTTGGATAATTTTTTTTTAACTAAATAAACTACCCAGTATGAACATTTATATAGCCCTTATTAAAAACATTCGGTCCTCAAGTTGTAAAATGTGCTAATAACGTTATTCTGAGAGTTATTTTCCTCGGCATTATGAACGTGCATCTCAGAGTGGGAGATTGGGGGGCGGGGCTTAAGAGTCAACTCAACTGAGCATGCTCTGTGAGCGCACATACGGGGTGTTTCTCAATGTCGAGTACGCTTGCTTGGTAGCACATGTCTACCGAGCATCTTGCTTCAGAAGCGAGGCAAGAATACTTCCTGGCATTCGGAAAACAAAGAGTGGAACACGCTAGCAAGTGTGCAGGTGTGCGTCATATGAGAGGCCCCGCCTTACATTTTCCACCACAGATTTGGGGAAATTGGTCTGTGCGCAAAGCATTGTGGGGATTTTAAGACCGCGGAGTCTACACATGTGCAGCCTCGATATTTCTCCAAACGGAGTACGCCGGGCTCGGTAGATTTCCAAGTATGCTGGAGATTGGAACAGTACTTCGGCGGCACTCGATGACGTAGTATGCTTGAAATAGTGGCTCTGGAGCAGCTTTACTCGCGATTGAGAAACACCCACTGGTTCTTCTGCTCTGACAGCCAGGCATGCTGGGTAATCTGTGACGTTTCGCTCTCTCAAAAGTTGGGCCATTTTGTCCTCATGCGCCAATGAGCAGCTCTCATAGGAAAGAACGAGACCCCGCCTCCGACGCCGTATCCAGTTCTTATTATATATTATGGGTTGGGACACGTAAAATATAACTGAGACTTCTCCTGGTTTGTGCATCTCTCTCTTCCTCATATCCTGTCAACATGACGTACGTAATCATAGTTTTTGATTACGTAACGATTACTTAATGTTTGTGGTTTTCTGTCTTTGTTTTTGTCTGTTGTCCGTAGTAGTTCTCATTTCAACTGAACTTCAATCTAATCATTTGTCAGACCTTATGACGCTCTGAACTACTTTAAAATAGTTGGAAGAGGAACTGAAACCCATTTCTGTAATGGCAAATCAAAGTAAACTATGTAATCTTACCAAAACAGAACAGATAAGGAACAAAAAGAGGAAGTAGCAGCCTCTCAGACTTTTCTACAGCCCAGCATCTGGATATGAGACGATGTGAGTGTTATTAGGAGTCAGATGCTGCTCCCGATGTGCGGTGGTCTTATTCTGATTATTAGTTTTTATAAAGATTCCTTTTTTTAGGAGTTTTCTTGGTGGTCTGATGTTTGGGACACGTCAAATATAACTTGCGACTTCTCCTCTTTGTGCATCTTTGTGTATTGGGGATTGTGGGAAACGGTATTTGGATCTCTCTGGATGTGCGGAGGTCTTACTTGAGGACGTGGATGGTGGAGCAGAACGCTCTGTTGTCTTGCAGCCAGTCTAGGAACGCTCGCACTCGCTCCGACAGAGGGGTCTCCAGCTCAGGGATGTGACTCTGCAAGAGAGGCAGAGGAGGAACAACGCTTTGAAATCACCAAGATCCCTCGTAGACCTCCACACAACATATAGGCAAGGCAAGTTTATTTATATAGCACTTTTCAACACAAGGCAATTCAAAGTGCTTTACACAAATGAAAGACATTAAGAGCACATTAGAAACATTAAAAAGCAAAGATAATAAAACATGAATAACACAGGTACATGAATACAAGTTACAGTGCCGTGTGAGATGTGAATAGTTCAATTAAAAGCAGCGGCAAAATGAAAAAGTCTTCAGCCTGGATTTCAAAGTAGTAAGAGTTGCAGCGGTGTTATATACTGTCACACCGCTGTGCAATATCACCTCCTTTGTGCTATTTCACTATTTATTATCATTACTGGCTGCTACTTACTTTGCACTTCTTACTTCGTTAACCACACTGCTGTAAAATAACACCGTGCGCTATATATACACCTTTTACTAGGGTTGTCAACATTAATGCTTTTGCGATTAATCTGGGAAGCTTAGTGTGCTCAAAGAAATATCATAAATTAATCAAATGACCAAGTTTGACCCCAACTTCCTCTCTAATTCCAGCGCAGATGTTTACAATAAACCCCATGGCAGCGAAAAGGCAAAGAAAGCGGAGGATCTTCCAAAAATAATGTATGTTTTGCACTGACTGGAGACCACTGCACCGGACGAGTAAGAACCATCACGACCTCGCTGTAACTGCCTTAACTTTAGTGAAATGTTGCTGAATCATGCTCTAGTTTCTTGAAGTTGCACAGGAGTGTGAGAAAGTGGACGAGTCACCACTGTAGGAACAGATAGAGCTGCACTATGATAGCTTAAGAGATGATATAATATGTATCTAATATCTAATATATATCATTCCAATAACTTGTATATAGACTCGTACTGCACTATTCCACATCATCACTTTATTTTATAACTATTTTTCTTTTTGTATTGCTCTTGCTATCTGTATTGTTATTATGTTATTATGTTGCATTGTTGGAGAAGCCTGTGACATAAGATTTTCAACTACATAATTACTCTGTAGCTATGTCAGATTGACAATAAAGAACCTTGAACCTTGAACCTGTGTAGAGCACATTATACAGAGGGGAATCATGGCAGCTTTGTCGATGCTTTAGATGTAACGGCCCGTCCACACGGCGGCGTACGTTGAAGCTTCAACGCTTCTTCCCATTCACTTTGAATGGGGTGACGTCACGCTTTGCCGAACTGCATTGTGGTTCCGTCGCTTCGCTTTGCTCGCTTCAAAAGTAGAGCAATGTTCTACTTTTGAAGCTTCGACGGAAGCGTCAGCCAATCGAATCATATGCCAGTACAAGGTCTAGCCAATCAAACCGCGTGCTTGTGTGTCCGGGGCGGGAGATTCATGTGATTGGTCGAGTTTCAGACACGCCCATCGGCAAGCATCAACGCACGCCGCCGTGTGGACGCTGCGTAAGTGACGGACTTCATGCCAATCATTCAGAAATCATGTTATATATAGTAAATACAAACCTCTTATTTCTCTGACCAGTGTGTCATGCATGTCTTTATTACAACACCACCCATGTATTCTATTTTATCTGTTTTATTAGTTTTATGTATTCATGTTGCTCTGTTGTAGGAGCCTGTGACCTAAGTTGTTCATTGCCATATCTACACTGTAGCTAATGTGCACATGACATGACTGTCCTGGGAGTGGATCAGGAGTCGTTGGCAGTGGTGTCGGAGAGGAGAATGTTGAGGAAACTTCTCAACGTTCTGGACAACGGGTCTCACCCGCTGCATGCCACACTGGTTTCCTACCGGAGCACTTTCAGCCACAGACTGAGACCACCGAAGACCACCACGGAGGTCTTTCCTCCCATTGGCCATCATCTTTTTACTGCACTTTTAGTCTACAGTTTTGATGTTGTGCTGCTGTGTTGTATTTGTGTTACTCTGGCACAACAAATACAGTAACACTAGTATTCTAATTGTCTTTTTGTATTAAATGCAATTACATTTTTATCTGATTAACACCACTACTTTACAATTTACTCCGGTTATTACTGGTTCCTTCTTCACTACTTTAATATGTCTATAATGCTGCTACCTATCCTTTCTACCTTGAATCACATGAGTCACATTTTGCTGTTCCAGGGTAAACGTCCCCGCTGTGGGACCGTTCAACAATAAAGGATTTCTGCATTGTTGTCATTGCTGAGTCTCAAAACAGATCATGGTTATTCACACAATCATCTCCCTACACAGAGTGGTTAACAGAAATATGCCTGTGGTGTAAAATGCAGGGTTGTTCCCCCCCCCCCCCTCTGTATAAAAACACAATAAGCATAAACAAACGCTGACGCTGCAGTTTGTTCTGGAAGTCACCATCACAGTGTGCTAATGACAGAGGGCACAGTTTGTTTAAAAAGCTTCACCAGCAAATCACACACACACACACACACACACACACACACACACACACACACACACACACACACACACACACACACACACACACACACACACACACACACACACACCACACACACACACACACACACACACACACACACACACACACACACACACACACACACACACACACACACACACACACACACACACACACACACACACACACACACACACCACACACACACACACACACACACACACACACACACACACACTACACACACACACACACACACACCACACACACACACACACACACACACACACACACACACACACACACACACACACACACACCACCACACACACACCACACACACACACACACACACACACACACACACACACACACACACACACACACACACACACACACACACACACACACACACACACACACACACACACACACACACACACACACACACACACACACACACTTCAGGCGAAATATGTAGGAAGCTGCATTGCATCAGTCGTGCAGAAACTGGGCGGTGGTGTGTAATAATAATAATAAAACCACAATTTCCCGAATCAGTTACTCTCGGTCATTTCCTGACATGTTGGATGTGGCTTCAAAAGTCAGATTTGATGCAGCATTTCAAAATAACATATTCTTTTAATGCTGGACATCTTATTTTGAAATTCTGGATACATTTTCTCACTTTTATCTCAGTTAAAGTGGACCTATCATGCTATATTTGAATAATATAGTGTAGGACCATACCTATATAAGGCATATTTATACTTTTTTTTTTTCAAAATACCAAACAGATCATGCATTTTAGCCATGCCTCATTTCGCTCAATTTGAAAATGTTTAGCTCTGTTTTTGCAAGGGCTGATTCTGTGAGAACAGCACCACCTACAAGCCTGGCATATGTACTACAACGTCTCCAGCGCTTTCGAACGGCAATGGCCGTGGCTGTCTCCTCCTGATTGGTGGAGTTGGCCCAATAGCCGTAGCGCCACCGTCCTGACGTCAGGACAGTGTTCAAATCTGGATCAGTTTTTATCAGATCCGTTGCAGCCCCTTTTTTAGAGATTTGGGTATGGAGGAAAATAGAGAGGGTTGTGTTTTCTGACACTTGGTGAGTTCCCTGGAACACCGGGGACACATATTCATGTATAAAAGACGTACAAAAGTGCATTTTGCATGATAGGTCCCCTTTAAAAGGAGGGCATTTCGACCTGCTTTTCAAAATAAGATGTCCATCATTCAAATAATATCTTATTTTGAAATGCTGCTGCTTGTTCACAGTGTCACTGACCATGTTCTGGGGTATTGCAGCGTAGTTGGGACAGCCCAGAACGTCTCTGATGAACATCTCGTTGCAGTTTTTGCCGATCCAAAAATAAAACACCTGCACAGAGAGAAACAGAGAGTCAGGAAAGTGCATTTATTATTCATGAAACACAGATTAAAGCTAAATAAAATTGTGCTATACACTTAATAATTATTAAACAATATTTAAAAAAAAATCCATAGTTAACACATTTAAACGAATGTATGAACACTTGTGTGTATTTTATTAATAATAATCCTGAAGCCTTACGTTTCCACAGTCCATGAGGAAGGCCCCGTCGCGGCTCAGCCTCTCTGAGCTCAGGTGCAGCAGGGGAGGCTGAGGAACCACCGAGTCGTTCAGGTGCAGTGCCCCCTGCAGGACACACAGGACAGAGCCATTTGTTTTAAATATATTAATCAAAACAAAAGAGTAACCCTAACTGTTAAGAAGCATAAAAAGGTCATGTTCAAATCTCCTTCAAAATGATTATTGAACATCCATTCATCAGTGCAATCATTTTTCATGGCAAAAATGCAGTTTTGATCATCTTAAAGGTCCCATGTCATGCTTTGCTGGTTATTACCCGTCCCCTTGTGTGTTATGAAGGTCTTTCTGCATGTAAACGGTCTGCAGAGTCACAAACCCTCAAAGTACACCCTGTAGCGAGTAAAACTCTAACACAGAAAAGACCTGTCTATGCTGCCCCAGAACGCCTCGTTGGAGATTTCTCTTTTTCCATTGTTTTCTTCCTGGTCATAGTGACGTAACGGTCATAGTGACGTAACGGTCATAGTGACGTAACGGTCATAGTGACGTAACGAGTATAGTGACGTAACGGTCATAGTGACACACACACCCACTCAGCCTTATCTTTTGGCCTGGCTGTGAGTGTGTGTGTGTGTGTGTGTGTGTGTGTGTGTGTGTGTGTGTGTGTGTGTGTGTGTGTGTGTGTGCTCAGGCTGAGTTCCGCGGTGTCTCGCAGACCCCACGCAGCAACCAGGAAACGACACCAGTAATCCAGCTCACACTGTCCGCTCCTCGAGCCTCAAAGGGCGGAGCAGCGAGCCCCGCAACGTCCCACCAACACGGCACCAAGACCCCACGCAACATTCTCATCTGTTTGTCCTTACTGGTGTCATTTTCTGGTTGCTAACAAACGCCATTGTAACACATAATCACTGATGTTCCGCTGTAACGGTGGTGGACTAATCAGAACAGAGTGGGCGAGCTGACCAATCAGAGCACAGTGGGCTCACAGGGAGGGGGGGGCAGGAGCTCCAACAAGCCGTTTAGGACAGAGAGTGAATACACATACTATACAGAGATGCTGTATGAGAAACTAATGTGAGTTTGGAACATTGAACAATATTCTAGTAGACCTCAACAATGGAATCATGATCAGTAGAAATGGCCATGTCATGGGACCTTTCAATATAGAAACGTCAACCATATTCAAGGGTTTACCTTTGGGTTTTGGTCAGAGAAACCCAGATACTTAAGGACCCAACCGTTGGACTTTTAGAAACTAGGATGACGTTTTTTCACTTTCTTCTGACATTTTAGAGACCTAACAATTATCGCCTGATTTAGAACATTTATCAACAATAAAATAAATGTCGAGATGCAGCAGTAATATAACTCAGTGTTGTGGAGTCTCACCTGGTCGGACATGTTGTCCAGGCGGTACAGGTCGGGGTGCACCAACCTCATCAGCTGCTGCAGCGGCTGCGTCTTGAACTCACACATCGCGAAGACTCGCTCGTCCAGACGCGTGCACGTGCCCGTCCGCAAGGCTTTCTGAAAAACAAACACAAATAGTTTTAACATGCTTATTTCTTCCTTTTCACATTTAAAGTTCAAAGTTCAAAGTTCACTTTATTGTCAATCTTTCAGTTTGTGTGTACAGACAGAGATCGAAATACCGTTTCCCACAATCCCGAATACAAAAACAAATATATATATAAAAAATATGTATATCCTATATATACACACAATCAAAAGACACATTTATACCAAGGTTCCTGCAGGTTTCACCAACTCAAATTTAAGACTTTTTAAGACCTTTTTAAGACCTTTTTTAGACCACTTTGAATAGAATTTAAGACCTATTTCACGGCAAAAAAGTATGAAGGAAAATTGCTATGAAAGAAGAAATACGTCCCATAATTACTTACAAAGTTAATGTATTCATGTTCAACATAAGAACGATGACTGAACATAACAGCATAACAGTACAGAACTGTGTGTGTGTGTGTGTGTGTGTGTGTGTGTGTGTGTGTGTGTGTTCATGTGTGTAAACTTTACACACATGAACACACACACACACTTGCTTCATTACTGGCTTTACACTGTAAACACTGTTGGTGTGTGTGTTTGTGTGTGTGTTTGTGTGTGTGTGTGTGTTTGTGTGTGTGTTTGTGTGTAAAGCCAATAATGAAGCGAGTGTGTGTGTGTGTTCGTGTGTGTGTAAAGCCAGTAATGAAGTGAGGGTGTGTGTGTGTGTGTGTGTGTGTGTGTGTGTGTGTGTGTGTGTGTGTGTGTGTAAAGCCAGTAATGAAGCAAGTGTGTGTGTGTGTTGCTGCCTGACCTGTTTGAGCAGCGCGAGGATGTAGACGGGGAAGAGGCACATGGAGGCGGGCACCACGAGGCCGGACTGCTGCAGGTTGGACACGTTGGACTTGTAGGCGCTCACCATGTCCACCACGGCGTTGGTCAGAGCGTCGCGAGCGTCCGACAGGCTGGACGTTATCGCCCGGTCGATCGCTGGAGCGTGGGAAAAAATATTAGAACGAGAAGAGAAAATACACTGCTGACAATAATACATATTAAGACATTTTTAAAATGCTCTTTGCCGAATAATTTAAAGGGCTGTAAGAACATTTTTATGTTTAAGAAAATGTATAAAGAAAGCGTAATTAGACAGTATGAAGTTGACTTTTGATTGTGTTTGTAAGCAACTGTGACTGAAAGAATTATTGCTTTTTTATGGTTTAAGAAGGGGCAGGTAAAATAAGATTTTTTTCTCCCTGCTCCTTTCCACCATGCACTATAAAAAAAACTAAAAATAATTTAAAAAACAACCAGTATAAATGTACGTGTTTTGTTTTAAAATAACTGCCATGTGTGGAATAAACAAATAAATAAACAAATAAATAAATAAAAAGGCAGTGAAACACCAGAGGCCTGTACTACGAAGCCGGATTTTCTCTTAGCGAGCTAACTTCAGGGAAAACTCTGGGTTTCCGGTCCTACGACGCTGGTTCTCTTTTTACCGGGCCAGATCTGCATGGTAACTGATGCTGAACGGCTAGCCTGGTCCGGAGCAGGTTAGGTTCCAGGATAAGAGATCAACTCAGTGAAAGCACCACCTGCTGACCAATCAGAGCTCCGTGTGCGGAGTTTAAAGCGATCAAGTCATATTACAGGATAGAGGAAATACAGAAAAACTGCCGTTGCAGGAAAGACGGCCGGCAAAAATCACCGACTGTGTGAACGTGAAAATTAATAGAATATCCCCTCCCATCTTCAGAGCAATCTGACTATTATAACATTAGCGTTAAGAAAGCTTACTTAAATATCTGCCACAACATAAGTAACCGGATCAGAGTAACATTAAGTACAGTCCGCGGCACTGTGAGTGCAGACGTAGATGTGTCCCATTATCATTCATATCATATCACATCATAATGTATCATATATTTCCTTATCTGAGTCAGCTGAGCCGTATCTGGCCGTGCAACACTCACAGTGTCACATACTGTATGCAGAAGTATTATTTTAAGCAACACATTAAGTTGATGAAACACTCGAGTCAAATGTAATTAAACTCAGATCGTGTCTTGGACGGGGCAGTGATTTCATAAACCTGTTAATGTACGCATTCAAACACTTTTTCTTTTACCAGCTGTATTCACCTTGCAGGTGCAGCTATGTGGCTTTTATCCTGGATAAAGTGTTTGAGTCATGGATGTTTAAAGTTTAACGTCTTAATATTTGTCTAATATTTTAGTTCACTTTTCATTCAGGAAGTATGACGCTGCGCTGTCAGTACGCTTCTCCATGTTTGTGATTGGTCAAATGTTGCTAGCCCCGCCCCTTTCATGTGAACGCGCACTCAGCTGGACAGAGAAACCCTGGCTTGAGTTACCGAGTTGATAACCAGCGTCGTAGGACCGCTTAGCGAGATCGCGTTTGTTTTGGGTTAGGTAAGCTGGGCAACTCAAACATATCCAGGGTCTGTTGAACTGGATTCGTAGTACAGGCCTCTGGATCCCATGTAGATGACAGACCTTTTTAGGTTTCTAAGACTAGATAAAGTAAGATAGAACTTTATTTATCCAGAATTTGGGGAAATAATAAATGGAATGACAAGAAAAGAGTGATGAAGGAGTCATTTATGTGCACAGAAATATTGGTACATCTTCAAAAGGAATGTGGGGAAGACCGTATCTCATGTGAAGACACACTACTTTATGTTTCCAAAACATGATGGAGGAATTGGATAACTTCTAACAAAAGCATCAGAATAAAATCAAGAGTATAACGTTTATAATAAGTTATACTATGACATGTTTACTTAAGGAAACAAGGGAAACTAAAATAGCAAAAGTATTATTTTTGCACATGATATTGAAAACAATTATACTAAAACATATTAAAGCCGTGTTTTTTTTTAAAAGCAGACTCACCCATGTTGGCCAGCAGGCAGGTGATGGCCTGAACATCAGCTCCAGCGTAAACCTCACTCAGCTGACTCACCACCGGCAGACACAGAGTGTGCACCCGGATCCGCCTTTTTCCTGAAGGGACAGACAGATAAATGATCAAGAGATAGTTATACTCCATTAATAAACAGTATTAATAGAAACAACATGACTTTCTGTCCTTCTACTATCAGTGTGTTAGAAAAAACGTAAGACACATACCCTTGAAAAGTATTCTGTCTCTTATACAACAATATACTCTTAATTTCAATCACCTGTCTGTGTTTCTATTGTGTTATACTCTTAAAGGTCACCTATCATGCTATCTGTAGGCAATAGCATAGGTCTCAGATATATACAAATATATAAAAAACATGTCTATGAAGTGTTTTGCTCAAAATACCAAACAGATCACCCATTCTAGCCATGCCTCATATCCCTCTATTTCACTTCCTGTTTCAAAAGTGCTGATTTGGGTATAAAGCTTTAAGAAAAACAAAAATTGATAACAAATAAAAAAGGAGGGGGCTGAGCTCATGCGGGACCCGGCAGCTACTGTCTAAACTAAATACTGCCGTGATGAAACGCCATATCATGGATTATCAAGGATTATCTCTGAAACAGTATGGAGCTCAAATGCTTTCTCTCTTGCCGGTTATACCACAAGGTGAGTTCCTTTTCATTTCCTGCTTCTTCACACACATGCTCTCCAGTACAGGTTAGCTCTGAGTGTTAGCAATGCTAATGTAAACATGCACCGACCATATTACGTCCAAAACAGTCGGGCATTGTTTCTGATAGCAACGTTTCTGATAGGGCCGTGGGTGTAAAGCCAGCCTACATTTCAGATATTACGTCATATCGGACGCAAATCTGGATCAGCTCCGTTGTAGCCCTGTTTTTAGAGATTTGGGTACGGAGGAAAAGAGAGGGTTTTATTTTCTGACGCTGCGTGAGTTCCCCGACACACCGGGGACACATAGTTATGTATAAAAGACATAAAAAAGTACATTTTGCATGATAGGTCCCCTTTAAATGCTGAGGGTTTAAGTAAAAAGATCCATAACAATATTGTCGTGAACAATTGACTTCGCCCACAGATCCACACATTTTTATTTTCCATAATCCAAGTTCGTGTGTGTGTGTGTGTGTGTGTGTGTCTACATGTGTGTCTGTGTACCTTTACAGGAGGTGTAGAGCAGAGCCGCCTGGAAGCAGGCCAGAGACGAGTCGGCCAGAGAGTCGTCGATGGACATCTGGACCGCGAAGGCAGAGTCGGGGTTCACGTTAGCGAGAGACAGAAGGTCGGTGGAGCGCACAAAGAAGTTACCGTGGAACGTGTGGATCGATAAACCTGAGGGAACACCAGGAATACATCCAGAGTCAAACACAAGGTTTGGAGAATTTAGAGAAGATGTTAGAAAAATATCACTGGCTTGAGCTTCAATATCCGGATCCATGTATTTACGATCCTCTCAAGAATGGAAGTAGTCATCACATACAGAGCATCAACTAGTTCCTGAACAGTGTCCTTCACATGCTGATATCCAAGAGAGGGAGTTACACAGTCACAAGATGGAGGAATATAAAACAGTATTCAGGGATGCAAACACACGTATGGGGAAAAAAAGAGAGAACTATTCGAAGCAGAAAAAAACTGCGTAATATACCATCTCTGACAAAGGCCTGTGCTATAATGCTTCCATTAACTGGCTATTCTTTATAATATACTCAGATCAATAGGAGACAGAGATGTTAAGTTATAAATCAAGGGTTTTTATTATTATTTACAGCAGGGGTGGGGAACCTTTTTGCTGTGCCTTAACCTCACTGAGCTGAGGTTATTTGAGCCTCTCAGTCTGTCAGGAGAGAGCTCTCTTCCACCTGGTGGTAGAAAAAGCTCTTCATATTCGTTAGCATAGCTAGCTAACCAGATGCTAATAACAACAGATCGTGCTGGAGCGCGTTCCTATGCTCTCTGTCAACAATACACCACGTGATGACACGTTACGCTCGTGTTGTGTTCAAGGAACCTGTCCTTGGCCAGGAAAAACAGGCACTCTTGTTTAATTATTTTGCGGTCTAGATTTCTTAATTTTTTTTTTTGAAAAACGAAAACTCTTCGGTTCTCCACGAATTACACAAGTCACCCAAATCGGGAGGCGCCGAAAAGCGACTAATTTGCATGCATGAGTATTCAATGTTTAGTTCAGATTAGCTCCACGTCAGAAATGATCATGCTTGTCATATGTCTATCTCCATAGAGGCTGAATCATCATGTTAATCACATAGCTATCATATGCCTCAAACAGTCCTGATGCTCTTCTAGGTAATCATACATCCTGTCATGCACACAGCTACAGTTGGGATACCTTTGTTATCATGTGTAATCTGATATTGAAAGAGCGCATTTAGTATTTTCCCAACAGAAGACCACCTCTAAAGCAAAAACATACGAGCTGAATCTAAAAACAAAAAATGTGTTGCCACTACAGCAGTGTTAGAAAACCGAGCTTCTTGTTACCTTTGGTGCATCGTATCCTCATGACGGCCTCGAAGCCGATCTTCCTGCTCAGGTACCGCTCCAGATCTCTCTGGAACTTCTCCAGCTGAGGCGGGTTCTGGATGTGATGGAACGAGGGGTAGTAGAAGATGCTGCCCGCAGAATACTTGGACATACAGGCTGGAGGAAGAGAGGAAAATATACCTTATTATTATAAGTGATAAAAAAATCACCAAAAAAAAAGGTCATCAAACTTTTTCTCTCATGTTAAAAAGGAATAATATAAAATAAAATTGTCTAAAAGTTCATATACTCTGAGGAAAAACTTAAAGTGGAACATTTAAAACTGACTAATCTAAGAGAGTAATTGACTTTGTATATCAGGGAGTGTTCAAGTATTTTCTCGCATATTTTTAATTTAAGACTTTTAACCGTTTTTCAAGTAATTTGTGATTTTCTTTCCATACATTTATTTTATTTTAATAGAATTCATAGAATGTCCAAGTAATTAAAAAAAAGCTTACATCCTAAATCAATAACATGTTTATTTCGGGGTCTGTAAATATTGTTTAGTGACTAAAATGTTTAGCGTTGTAATGTTAGCATTAGCTCAAAGGAATACTCCATGGTAAAACTGTCTTTTGAGTACGAGGTAAAAGAATATTAATTAAGCTTCGACAAAGAGATGCAATTATGAGGCATTACTTTTTACCAATGGGATCAACAATGATGATATCAATGCTGCAGAAGTACAGTTTTAAAAAGATTCAACACATGTTTTAATGCTTTTTGTATCATAGTTCTGGGGATCTATTATAACCCATTTGTACTGCTTTGAATTTGTGACTTAGGGACAGAAATGGCGCATTTCCACTACAGCGCGGAGCTCGCTTTAAGCGTGCCGTGCACGTTTTGATTGCGTTTCTACTTGGCGTAGTTCCGGCTAGCGGGTACTATTTCACAGTTTTTCTGGCCCCATACAATTGTGGTTCTTTCCGGGCCAACAACCAGGCTGAGTCGGGCTGAGTATGCTAAACTAGAGAGAGAATCGCTGGCAAGGGGGCTACAACTACAACAAGATGAACATATTTGACCGTGATTTAATTGTAATACACGTTTCAAAATGATGCCGAAGTAACAACATACTGATACCGGTTAGTAAAAACCATGAATTAATGCTTTGACAAGTCTGCAGACAAGACGGCAGGCGAAAAACCTTTTAAAATGCGTGTTTTCTGAATGGAGATCGGCTAAGCTAAAGCAATATATGCTCCGACCGTCCACACTCACAACAACGGCCTATACAGACATAAATAAACCAGCGACTGTATTCGCCATGACACAGACAGTCTGTGGTTTGTACTTGTTTAACTTTTGTCTAGTTTCTGAACAGATATGAGGAGCTGTGAGCTTGAGTGCTAACAGCTAACGGCTGATGTTGGTTTTGTGTTTCGCATTGAAGATGACGTCACGGCTCCGCCTACACTGCATTACTATAGTTACTACCCCAGTTCCTAAACTGTAATGGAAACGCAGCATAAAGTGAGCCTGGCCTACCAAGGCCTAACTATACCGTACTAAGCCGTGCGAGGCCCTGCAGTGGAAATGCGCCATAAGAAGAGCTGGCTCTTTCGGCTCCTAAACGGCTCTTCCGTTTACCACGGAGCCTCAGTTTCGCCGCTGCGAGGCTCCGGCGCTCGCAGTTCACGCGCGTGCTCCACTAGCACCCCCCTGTCAAGGCTCGCCGGCAGTACACTTTCCATCACAGGAACACGCTTTGCTGGCGGCGAAAATAATCCCACCAGACTCCTTTGCCCCTCCAACAGAGGGATGTCATGGTCCTTTTTCCTTTTCGTCATTTCAAGCGATAAAAACTCTCGATCTTCTCTCGAATTATACATTTTTCAAATGACGGCAAGGCGCCCCCCTGGCGGAAACGCTGCTTTCAAAGCACCCAAGGATACCTTACAATTCATAAAATATTCTAAGGAAAGGTTTGAGACAGTTGAGGTGTTCTTACCCAGCGAGGCGAGGTCAGCGTACTGGGAGCTGAGCAGGAACAGATCCACTCCGATCTGCTGACCCGAGCAGTCCAGAGCGAACTTCTTATAGAAGTCTGTGGCCGGGCCGAGGTGCTGGACGCCCTGCAAAGAGACACACGTTACAAAACAAATCCTCCAGATCCACTTTCAGAGGGAGGAAGGAGAACTACTGGGCTTTAGGGAGTTCTAGGGAGCTTTTAGTCCAACTACATGGTCTACTACAGGATGGAAATGTGCACACTGGGTCAGGGTTGGGTTTTTTTTGTTTTTATTTACTTCCAGCTTTTCTTTTGCCCAAAATTCTGAAACAGAAGCATACGTCGGCTCTGCCTGAGAAACAAAAGCACATCTGTTTTAGTTCACCAATGCAGAAATACTTTACTAAGATAAAAACATACAGAACAGATGATGAAGATCAATAAATCACAATCCTGGAATCACGAAAAACGTTTCCTCGGCTCCTTAATGTCTTCTCTTTGTCTAAACTGAAACGTGAGATCCAATGATGACGTTAAGGGTGATAATAAAAATCCGTTGTGACTGGAATATAAATAAACAATGAAATGCTAAGTGTAAATCCACACAATCGTAGCTGTGGAAGTGTCATTCCCTTGCTATAATAACAATAATACATTTCATTTATCAAGCGCCTCATCAGGTGTTCAAAGACGCTTTACAGGAGGTAAAAATAAGATAAAAAATGAAATTAAAATCGAGCAATAAAACAACATTTATCACAAACACACAACATTAATCACACATTAAAACCTAGTCTGAAAAGTTGTTATTTAGTCAGTGCAGTCTCTGATGTGTTGTGGCAGTGACCCAACACGTCAGAAAACACATATTAAGGGGCTCGTTCTATTCAAAAAATTAAGTTTGCTGGTAAAAATGGTAAATGTTGACACGCCCCCCCCCCCCCTCTTTATTATATATTTAGTTTTTGTAATGTTTTGTCTGTCTGTCTGTCTGTCTGTCTAGACACTCACTCACTCACACACACTCACACTCACGGTTATAATTGTGGTTTAAATATTGTACGCCTTCAAGTGCAGACCCATTATGTTTGGCTTGTCAATTGATGTACAATAGTAGAGACTAAGCTGAACACTAGTAGCTTAGAGCTGTTCAATCTAACCTATCAATGTGCCACACAAATCACTTTTACAACGTCCTCTCGTTCGTACCTTGCTGCTGGAGCGCTGGTTGGGGTCCTCTCTGGACAGCAGCGCTCCGGCCCCCAGCGTGGGCAGCTGCGTCTGAAACACCGTGATGCGGCCCCCGGTGGGCGACATCAGCTTGAAGGCAGCCTGTAGCGCCGGGCCGAGAGCGCTGTGGGTCTCTTTACTCTGACTGAACATCCCGGGGAGA